ATAAGCAGCCAAGTTATACTCCTAGGGAGCAAAATAATTCATAGAAATCATTCCACCTGAAAGTACGCCTCAATATCAAAGAACTCATAATCTCAGGCTTTTATTAAAGAAAGCTCCAAAAGATAAGGCTTGAAATTATAATTTTACATAAAAAGTATGAGGGTTTAATGAAAGTTCCTATTGATGCTTCTTCACTAAACACAATTCAGAAGATAATATTAAGAGGAACATTATTTAGGGTTTGCATCCAGGGGAAAAAACCCTTAAGCCAAAAACCTGCATACAAATATTTATATTTATAGCATCTCTATTCATAATTGCCAAAACTTGGAAGCACCAAGATGTCCTTCAACAGGTGAACGGAAGAATAAACTGTGTTCCATTCAGACAATGGAAGATTACAAAGTGCTAAAAAGAAATGAGCTGTCAAGCTATGAAAAGACATGGAGGAGCCTTAGATGCACACCGCCAAGTGAAAGAAACCAGTGGGAAAAGGCTACCTACTGTGTGGCTCCAACCATATGACATTCTGGAAAATGGAAAACTATAGAGACAGTAAAGAAGATCAGTGGTTGCAGGAGCTGGGGGTGCAGGGGAGGAGAAGGATGGACAGGTAGAGCACAGGGGATTTCTAGGGCGTGGAACTCCTCCATAGGGTGCTGTAACGGTAAATACATGACTTTATGCATTTGTCAAAACTCAAAACACTGTACAACACAAAGAATGACCTCTAATGTAAACCACAAACTTTAGTTAGTAATAATGTATCAGTATTGGTTCATAATTGTGACAAATGTACCACACTAATAGAAGATGTTAATCATAGGGGAAACTGAGGGTGGTGGTGGTAGAGGGAGTACATAGGAACTCTGCAATTTATGCTCAATTTTTCTGCTCTAAAACTGCTCTAAAAAAATAAAGGGTTTTTAAGGAGTGAATCTACTCTGTATGATACTGTAATAATGGACATGGGTCACTATCAATTTGTCCATAGAATGTACACCACCGAGAGTGAACCCTAGTGTAACCTAAAGGACTCCGGGTGATAATGATGTGTCAATATAGGTTCATTAATTGTAACAAATGCACCGCTCTGGTGGGGGATGTTGATAATGGGGGGAGCTATGCATGTGTGGGGCACGGGTTATACAGGAAATCTCTGTACCTTTTTCTCAGTTTTTCAGCTCTAAAAAATAGAGTCTATTCATTTTAAAAAATCTCAAAACAGTTTGATGGGGAAAAAGACTGGTCAACCTGAGCAAACAAAGAGAGAAATTATTCCAAATTGTGGAATCATGTGAATTAAACTATCTAACACGTTTGTTTATTATGGTACGTTTTTAATTGAAAGAATATGTGTAAAATAAAACACCAGGAAATGAGTGAAAAATTATCTTTCTTTCCGAATTTGAGGGGACCTTGGAGATAAATGAACAGGTTCAGATAAACTTAGAAATTAACCAATTGTGACTATCGAACACTCCAAATGTTCCTGAGGAGAAGGGAAAACTGGGTTTTTGGTTTTTGCGGGAGCAAAAGTGAATGTGTTAAAAAGTGTTGTGAAAAAAGAAATTTACACTCGCTAAGGATGCAATAAAGACTCTTCTAAAATTTTTATTTATGTTAACACATTGGAATGTACCCTAAATTACTAGAGATATCGTACTTAAATGGTTTAATTTAGCCAGTGCTAATCTCATAGACTCTTTGAGGGTTCCTAAAGCTATTTCTTAAGAACGCAGATGACCCACGTTTTCAGCTATTTTAGAACCCAGGACAATAAATGTTCCACTGGCACATCAGAGAGGGGGTGCAGCCTGGGGATTCACAATGTGGGTGGTGGAATTAGGCTGACCGGGTTCAAATCCTGGCTCCAACACTTCTGGCTGTGTGACCTCAGGCAAGCTACTTAACTTTCCTTGGCCTTTGTTTCCCCATATGTAAAGTGGGGACACAGCAATACCTACCTCACAGATTAAATGAACTAATGCACATAATTCATGTGTGCAGGGCTGAGCATACAGCTCTCAAATGTTAACTGGTATTAGCTCTACTAATCTGATTTTAGGAGGCTGTTGTATATGACCATATCTATGCATATCATCATCCATCTATAATGATCCCTTAAGCTGATGGCAACGTAAAGACACCTCTGTGGTGTTACTTCTATCACTCTGGGGTAATTAAATGTTTACATGTTGGTTTCCTCCACTGAATTGTCAATGAAGTGACAGCAGAAGCTAAATCTTAGTCCTCTTTTTAAGAAAGTACATTTAAAGAAACATTTCTCAGAATCAGGAACTACACTGACTTCTTACTGGGAAAGAAATTTTAATTTCAGCTAAAATGTATACTGTTAAACTGAAAACTTTTTTTTTTTTTTCCTTTTTGTCTTTTTTCGTGACCTGCTACGGATCGCAACCCTCAGTGTCGCGCCCATACTGGACTGGGACCGACAACGGGATCTCAACCCTCAGTGTCGTGCCCGCACCTCGCTCAGCCAGTGAGCGGCGGGTCTGTATGTGGGATCCGAACCCTCGGCGGGAGCGCCGCAGCGCTCCCAAGCGGCGCACTGTAGCAGTGCGCCACCGGGCCGGCCCTGAAAACTTTTTTTTCAATTAAAAGAGTAAACAGGTAAAGTTTTTAATTTACAATACTTTGGCCTAATATTATTACTATATATCAACTTTTAAGATTATCTGCATCCTAAAGTATTTCCCACGGCAATATTTGATTATACTGGGACTTTTGGCTGAAATGCCACAATGTTGAAAACAGAAACAGCAACAGCAACCTGGGGTTCAAAGTGAAAATTAACTGCAAGTTGAGATCCACACCATTTGTAGTTGGTGAAAGTTCTAATTCACAGTACAATAGTCCCAGATAACAGATCAAACCTGAGCTTCTGCTTTTGAAAGGCTCCAGTGAGCACAGTGAATGCAACTTCAGCTACTGTACCAAGGACTGAGATTTATTTAATCAAGATGGGAAAAAGAGGTTTATGATTGTCTAAGAAGCAATGAAGTTTCTATTTTCATGTAAACTACCTAAAATAAACACCAAGGACAGCAAACCAGAAAAATGCCCCCCAAAACAGAAGAATGGCTTCTAAATAGATGGCTTTTTCTACATTTTAAGCAACAGACAAAAATTTATCTAAAGTATTTTCTACTAAGACTATTAAAATGGCTTTTCTATTGCTATCAAGATGTAATTTCAGGTCCACTCAATTTCAAGAAATTGACTAAAATTCATATCACAGATCTGGTGTATTTTAAATGATGCTACATGCACTATCCAGTATTTATGCTGATTACAACACCAAAGTAGCTGGACTCAGGTAATTTAGTTAATAACATTCAATCAGAGATGCCAAATTAATTTTTTAAATGTGTTCATGAATATCACTAAAATTATTATAAGGCTTGCTGACTGAAATACTTTCCCACTGTTCACTGGTGACACAATTTAGATCAGATATATATATATATATATATATATATATATATTTAGAATACAAGATTCCCAGAATTATAAAACCAGGAAGAACCCTAAAGGGCACCTAGTCCAATGTTCTCATTTTCTAAGTAAGAAAACAGAGGCTTAGGAGAAGCAGGGGAATGGAGTGGTCCCAAGCTTGAGCTCTGGAGTCAGACACACGTGAGTTCCAGTCCCAGACTGGCAAGTTATTCACTTGTGTGACCTCAGGAAAGTTACTTAACCTCTCTAAGCCTCAGTTTCTTCACCTGTAAAATGGGGATAATAATTGTGCTAGGGCACATTGTAATTACTCAGTAAATGTTAGCAGCTATCATATTATTATTGTTAATAAAAAGTGACTCCTAAAGCAAGTAAACAGCAACAGAACTAGAACCCGGAGTTCCTGACACACACCACAGCTTTTTTTCATCTAAACACAGTACCTGAGATAAAAATTCATTGGTAGAGTTGTACTGACAATTTAAGCATAACTCTACATCAAATAGAAGGGTAAATATTTCAGTCTTCTTGCTACTGAATTGACAAAACATTGCTAGTGATCGCATACGGAGGTTTCAATTTCATGAAGATCCACACATATTTAGCTTTCCATGAACAATGACTATTTCATGTTGACCTTCATAACTGCTTTAGCTCAGTTATACGCTTTTAAATATCTTCCACTAACAGCTGCTCTTATAAAATAAATGACAAGGTGTATTGGCCACAAATAAAAGTTAGGGTTGACTAGCTAATGATCTTAAGTTTGACATTGGTTAGTTGCTCTATGGAATAGCCCAATATTCTTAATTTGTATTGTTGGTCAGATATCACCATATCTTCCACACATCTACAATGGAGGAAGCAAGAATCCAGGAGACATGAAAGGAGAAAGCTCAAGCGGATCTGCAGTATGGACAAAATCTGCTCAGGCTAAAACAGACTCCTCAGGATCCAGTAGCCACTAATCAGACGTTTGGAATTGCCATTTTTGTCAACATTTACTGCCCTTAAATGGTTCATTCCACTCAGAGTTGAATGTTTTTTCTTGTATTTAAAAAAAAACTGAATAATTAAGAAGTTTCAAAAAGGGTATTAGTTTTATATAATATGCTCCCAATAGTCTGCTTTTGATAATTTTTAGTTAATTGCCAGTCTTTTCAGTAAATATTCTTAGACTTTCAAGTGGGTGCTTAAAATAGTTTCTGGTAATAAACCAAAGATCTTTTTTCTCCTAATCTGGAGAATGGTCAATGAATATGTAATTAATCTTAAATCTTTAAAAATAACTAAGAGCAAATGTAATATGGTATAAATATATCAAATAGACATTAACTCAAACTACAGTGAGATGAGCTCACACCTAAACACGAACAAAGCCAAACACCTTTTTAGATAACACCAATGTAATTCAGCAGACCAACAGATGAGAATATAGTAATTTGAAAGGTGGCAATTTGTATCCATACCCAGTATTTAGTATTACAGTTACTAGGAATAAAATAGTTTGGCAAACTTACCCGCATTTTTGCACAAGCATCTTGGGTTGATTCTGTCCCCCTGAGCTCTTTTATCAGCATAGAACCTAAATACTAAAATACCAAAAAAAAAAAAAAAAAAAAAAAAAAAAAAAGGAATGCTTTATGAAAAAGAGATTGTAAATATGAGTAATGATTTAAAAACAAATTTTGGAAGTACTACTGGCTAGGTTTCCTGGCTATAAGTTGTGTAACTTTTAAAAACTAACAGTAACTCATCCTAACAAACACATTCATAGAGAGGATGCAGTAGAATTAACCATAAGTTCTGGGGGCTGTAAATTGCTCTTTATAATGAAACTGCAGCATTTTCTAAAGATGCCATCTTTCAAATCATATTTAACTGCAAAATGGGGGCATCTAAAAATGTTTTCCCTTTTTTTTTGAGGCAGCAGTGTCTGCAAAAATAAATCACACTACTATCTATGTAATTACAGGGTTGTATGAGACAGCTGAAAAGCTAAGCAACATGTCCCCCATTTGGGCTTATTCGGCTGCATAGGTAATTAACATCAGGCTGTTCTTAGGCAAAGATGCAGTTTTGGACTTTTTTTGTTCACAGCTGCATGCCCTATGTCTGATCCACCTGAGAACAGGATAGAAGTGCATGGGGGAGGGAGAATGTCATTCTCAGTTGTTTCACAGCAGAAAAAAACTGGGTCCCAGTGCAAAGTGACGCTTGGAAGGCCGGATGGAGGTAGGAGAAGGAGGAGAGAAAGTCTCTTCCTGGGAATTACCAACCACTTTGCTATTAGGGGATTGGATCCAAAACCACCTGGTACAAAACACCAGTCATGCTCCAGCTTCTGGCTGGGTGCAAACAGTTTTAAGCAAAATGTCTGTGTTGCCTTTCTACCAATTGACTCCTCTTCAACCTTTTGAAGGTTCAATAGGGTTCTTTCCTTTTGTCATTTTTTCTCCTCCCTCATGCCCTCCCCCCACCAAAGTCTCTATATGTCTTTTTAAAAAGTGAATTAAAATAATTATTTTAGAAGAGACTTGAAGGCCACTTCCGGACATGACTGGAAACACCTTGATACTCTGCAGAAACAGGGATGGGCATCGGTCTTGTGACCAGAGAAGACCTGACTTGAAGAGGACGTGCAAAGGCCCCAGAGCAGAAGACTTGGCCAAAGACCTTGAGGAAAGGCATGTTCAGAAAGGCTCAGGAATTTGGGGTTTGAGTTTTGGAGGAAGGAGCCATTTCAACCCTGCCGATTTGGGGCGATTACTACTGAAATAAATCTAATGCTGCAAGATAAGTAGGCGGTAAAAGAGGAGCAGGTAGCACACAATGAAGAAAAGCCCAAATTGCTATGAGATAACCAGAACACCCACATCTTAATCAAATTAAGGAAAATTATCTTGGTGAAATCTTTATCTTTGAAGTTATTAAGAAAGTTTGCTCTAATTGAAACGTTTCTTTTTAAGAGAGGCAGCGTCAGTGTGCTGCCAAGGGTTCAGCCACTTTTTCTGCTGTAGTCATGGCAACCAGCAGCTTCAAAGCCTACAATATCTTTTGAACATTTACCTGTTCACATTACTCACAATTCTTGGCTAAGCATAACCACTCCCCCTCTTCTAAAACAAACAAACCAGTAATATAATCCCATTGATGACATGAAAAGAATCTGGTATTTACATGACACGGTAGACCCAACATTTTGCAATCACTGGTGAGGGAGGACATATATATGTGCTATATTTATACTCATTTCCATTTTTAAGATTGAGCTTTATCACATTTCTTTTAAAATCCACAACAATATCAGAAGAAGGCAAAACAGACCTTAAGCTTACGAGATTAAAAGGGTTGTAAAGCTTTACTTATTTGGACTTTATTGTTGGATAAAATGTTATTTTAAGAAAAAGAGAAGGGGAAACCCCTTTAGGAATTTAAGTGATGGACATTTTGGTATATTTTCAATATAAATGCAAACAAACCAGAAACATAATCTCCATCCCCATTTGTATCCAAATACTGAATTCAGGGTAACTTACAAAAGCTTTGTAATCACACGATTGGAAGATGAGCTTTTCTGGGTGATGCTGCCAGTACTGGACAGGAGTCGAGGCTGTGGCTTCATTTGGAGGTCGCAAGGTAATGGAAGGTTCTCCCCAGTCCCCTGTCTGAAAACGACATTTATTCTAGACGCAACATGAGCACTAAGCAAAGTTCATTCCCTATAGTTTGCCTCTCTATGTTCACCTTATAGATGGGTGCTGTCAATGTGCGAATGTATTTGAGTATATTATATGTATATAAATACTTTTACTGGTCATTACATTTTTATATGTATTAGCATCATATTTCCCAAAGCTGAGTTAATTTTTGAGGTGTGAAGTTGAATTTTTCTGCTTTTAGAATGACACCCTAAACTAAGTAGTTTTAAACCAAATATGAAGATATTAATAAATGATTCACTATTTCATAATTTTCTGGTACAAGAGAAAAGAACGTACAATCTTTGAAATAATTTTTTATCTGTTTTCAAACTTGACTTTGAAATTTTTAATCTGAATTGATTTTACATTTAGAATATACATCTGCATAAATTTCAGTTCCCAAATATATCATGTATCGTATACTTTGAATAATTTTATGTCTCTGGAGAAATGATAATTGTAAGTATGATACTAAACAAAATTTTAAAAGAACAGCTTACTAATGGGTGACAACTAGTTTCTCTTGTCCAAATTCAATTGTATTGATATAGTGCCACTGTGATTGTCTTGGGTGTATGCAGCTACCTTTCTCAGAAAACCTAAAGCACCAATGAAGGCAACATTTAAATGCTGAGTTTGGTCATATGTGCATATGCATGTACTCGAGGATCCTGACTCAGAAATACAAGCACATTCACATATAATGATATGTCATATGATACATATGTACACTAAGACAGACCTGCAACAGAAGGTCATCCTTCATTTCATTTATTATTGTCCATAAGGTTAGCCTCAACCTGTTTTATTACTATAATAGTTTAGTGTCATAAAGTCAAAGGCCTTTGTTGACAGGTCTTTTCGGGGCTCTAAGCTGATTTATGTATTTACACATGGGATATTTCTTATTCTTTTCATAAAGATTCTGATTTTTCAAAATTCAGTTCTTTGTTCTCAAATGAACATGGCTAAAACTAGACAACAGGCAGACTTCCAAAACCACTCTCTTCTCACCTGGATATGGCTGACCTTATAGAATTATAAGAAATTACTTTTCTTGGGAGTTGGAAAGAGTACAAAAAGGTCTCATGAGCTCCAAAGCCAAAGAAAACTTTGGTTAGAGACCAAGTTCCATAGAACTACTAGCAAATGCACTGACACACTGCACCATTTTTTAAGGAGGCTTTTCAAGGAGTCCAGGACAAGAATGCAAAATTTTGGATGTAGGTGCATGTTCTGGGAGAGAAAGGAAGTGCATAGCTTTCATAGATGCTTTGAAAGGATCTAGAAACTGAAAAGGTTAAGAACCACAGTTCTCCAGGAATGGCCTAAATAATGTGCATGTTTTGGGGAAGAGGACTATCATTCCATTTTCTCCGTGCAGTTTGGACTGACATTAGGTGGAATATGAGGTAGCTGCCAATGATAGAAAGTCCTAGTTAGAGGACTTCAGGAATGCACAGGCTTTTTCATAGAGAGCCTGAAGCATTTCTCCTTGATATGGGTCACTTCCAAGCCCAGGAAGGGCAGAGTTGGCATCATTCTGCTTCCTTGGCTGCTCAGTGTAGTGTGCGACCAGTCGGGGCGCCTCTAGCTCTTCTCTCACGCTCTGTTCTGAGCTCCTCTCCAGGTTAGTTTTGTTCTAGCTGCTCATTTACTTATTGCATCATCCTCCTATTCCCTGTCTGTCGATATTGTTGACTTCACCTGTAATATTAACTTTCACATTTCTGTCTGTTTTATGACTCGCCCCAACTCATTCTTGAGTTTTTCTCTTTATATTTATATGAATTTTTATTCTGTAAATGCAATAACTGACTGCAATTAACTTTAGGATTAAGTTTTTCTCTGGCTTCCTATTTTGATTTTTTTTTCTTTTCCTTCTCTCTCAAATGTTCAGATCTTTATTCTCTCTCCAGTCTTGATTTCAACTGGCTGTGATTTGCTCACAAAAAAACTACTATAAAATTTAAAATGTAACATCAATATCATTTTGAAGCTGAGTGTAATAACCTTTAAGTGATAATAGCTTAAAATTCTGGAAACATGCAGCTCTCCCCAAATAAAAGCTCTCCCCTAATCTAGCAAATCATCTAATCCCCCCCATTAAACTTCTCTACTCCCCCCTCCCTCAATAAAGCAACAATGTAGCAAACAGGTATTGTACATTTAAGTCACAGGTCACACTGTTAACAGAACAACAGAAGTTTGCACGCAACTCCGTGGAATGATACAAAAAGAGGATCTGGTTGACATCAAAAGATCCTTCGATCCAGTGTCTGCTGATGTGAGAACTCAAACCAAGCATCAGATCTTCATGTTAGCCCTATGATAGTTCAGCTGAGGTTTGCCTTGGCCAAGCTCAACAGGCAGATTTCAAAAAAGCCTGAACAGACATGGCAGGAACTGGGGATACCATGGGTTGCAGGGCAAGTGTTGGAAATGGGCTGGGGGTGGGAATGGGTAGGGTGAAGCTAGGGTTATGGGGACATTTCACATTAGTACATTAAGCATGCAAATCATATGCAAACTCATTCTCTAATTGTTCAATTAACTCAAGCACTTAAGATAATTAAACTTTAATGTGGGTTCCATACACTCAAAGCAGAACTACAGCCAAATGCTGATCCAAATATTTATATCATCCACATAAGTTATAGCAGCCATTCTGGAAATAACAAGCCCTAGCACATCCAACCTCAGTTTGGAAATCACTGCGATCTCTTATTTGATAACCACTTGAAGAAATTAGCAGCACATCCATTCAACTCTGTTTAAACAGGGCCATCGTCTGCTCTCCTATAGCTCTACTTTGTCCAAAATCACAAACCACCTGCTTTGAATCCAGAGTGATCTGATAGGGCGTCCCCTAGGTGCTATGAGGGGAGATACTTAGAGGGAAGAGAAATATAATCCTTACTTTATTTTCTTTGTGACCTTGAAACACTGCTCTAATCCAAATATTTTAAAATTCCCTGCAAGAAATGAATCTACCTTTCTGGAAGGAGACACTGAGTTTTGTCATACTCAGTGCTCTTTTCAAAAATTTATTTTCAAACAGAGGGAAAAATGTTCTTAAGATTGAATTTATAAGAATATAAATTTCTTTTCTTCCCGGAAATTCATTAACTTCTCTCTATATCGCTCTCTCTCTCTCTTTTTTTTAAACCTTTGATCTAAGAATATTTAGAAGATTCAATTTATAGACATTGATTTTTCTCTCTGGAATTAATTTAGTGGAAACAGATGAACTCTACCACCCGGACTTAACATTGTACTATTGCAAAGGAAAGGTATGACCTTGGCCCTTGGCTGGGATTCAGTTTTACCTGGTTGACTGCCAGTAAAAACAAGAGTTCAGAGAACAAGGGTGCCTTAGGTCTCAACCCTCTGAGAGGCTGAATTACACCAGGAATGAGCTAGAAGGAGTTAAGTAGAGTAGTTGCTACACAGATTTTTGTCTCGTATGTAAAATAATTTTGAACTGTGAAGCCCAGTGTTAGGTCTGGTTGAATAGTACATTCATGTCTACATAACACCTGTATTTCCTCAGGCAAAGTTTTTAATCAAATTTAATAATTTCCCACTTTAAAAAAATGCTCATTAAGTATTAAACAAAAATGAAAAGATCCAAGAATTAATGAGCCTCAAATAATGGTTTATAATCAAAAATAGATCTAAACATGGGTAACAATGGTGCAATAATATTTAATTAGAATAAAAAAATAAAGTAGTAAAAGTTTCGGGTAGAATCTGTCATATTTTAAACTATAACTGACACAGTGGTCTTTAGAGGGCTTCCTTAAGTAATTACAGAAGAGAAATTAGAATGATTCAATGAACTCTTAATAAATGTCTTCAGGCTATTTCTTTAGAGCTTAAAATACTTAGAGAAAATCTTGCCTTTAGGCTCATGTATTTGAATGTCTTAATATTCCAAAAATGTGATCATTGACACCTCATTTATTTGGTATTTATTATTTTTATATGTATGCCTTAAGGCTTTTTCAGTTTTTTATAAACACGCTAAGGGACATCAACTAAACAGAGAGAAAAACTCCAATAAAAATTAACCTTCTAACATAAAGGGAAAACGTAATTTGAGATTAGAGTTTTAAATGGAGAACTGATTCTGCTCAACAGGTGTCTGTTAACTGCCACCTATAAATTCACAGTCTGGTTGAGTTTGAAGAATGCTAATTGGGCCATATCTAATACATAATTAAACATTCTCTTGTACCACCAGCTAAAAAATGAAAACCACTAACTGAATTTAGTTATAACGCATACAAAAATTCACAGAAGCCTATAGATAGGTTTTTATTAGATAGCAGATTCCAAAATGCAGCTTTTAAACTTTGTGTTATTTCAAAAGTTAGTAAATAGCTGCAAGGTTTAAGTTCATATGCACCAGACACCTAAGGCAAATTCTAAAACAGATCACATCATACCTCTCTCTCCCCTCAAAATGGAAACTGAATGTTACATATTCTCTATCCTCTGAGAATACAAAGGGGAAAACTTTCTCAATATTCTCATTTTCTTCTTGCGAAAAAAGTTTCCTAATGTCATTAAATAATTAAAAGGCATGATTCTGGGCCGGCCCAGTGGCGCACTGGAGAGTGCGCTGCTTGGGAGTGTGGCGGCGCTCCCGCCGAGGGTTCGGATCCCATGTGGAGACCGGTTCCCGCTCACTGGCTGAGCGTGGTGCGGGCACAACACCGAGGGTTGTGATCCCATTGCTGGTCCCGGGTATGGGCGCGACACCGAGGGTTGCGATCCCGTTACGGTCAGTAAAAAAGACAAAAAGGAAAAAAAAAAAAAAAAAGGCATGATTCTGATTTGGTTTTCTAACATTAACAAAAAGGTTTGGTATTTTCCAAGCCTTGTATTATTCTTTTTAAATTTTAAAAAAATTAGTATTTAATTGATTTTTTAAATAGAAGCTTTTAAACCTTTTCTACTAGGAACTTCTTCCACCTACCTGCTTGTAAATTTAGATCTGAATATTAACAAACATTATTCTCTATTTTTTTAGAACACTTAATAAAAAACTAAAATGATTTTAAATGACAACTGTTCCTTTAAGGTTTTACTTTCAATAATTCTGATAAGTTTCAGAGATGGACTACCCAAACATAGATACGTGTGATTACACTTTCTGTCTGTAATCTCTAGGGCTTTGACAAATGCTACATATAGCTCCATGCTTATAAATGTGTGTATTTATATTTGGATGTGGATGTAAGGAAAAGGCCTCCTACAAACATTCACATACACACAAAAGCAGGAGGCTGCGGCCGTTCTTTTAAAAAACCTTTCAAGAATAAAGAATGGTAGTTTGGTCAAATGCAGTTGGTTATACTGAATTTGTTTCTTTTGATGGTAAAGAGCAGAGATGGCCACTTCCAAACACACAAAAGCTGTGGTTAGCATTTACAGGTTCAGGAGGAACTGCTGGGTCTCAGGAGTACCAGTGCCAGGCAATGTATAGACATCACAATCCTCAAGAGGCAGGAGTCCCATGCACAGGAGGATGGATAGGCCTGATGCAGCACCCCAAAAGAGGCCTTTGCATGCCACCCCAAGAATTCTGCTCAGTGATTCTCAACCAAATGTCTCAACCTCTCAGACAGCAGGCTATCCAATGGGGAAATTCATCAGGATGTGAAAATAGGATGGCATTTTAAGATACAAAAGGTAAAAAATGAAAACCTTTTACCTCAAACTTTAAAATGTTTACTTTCCAAACAAAAATTTTTCTAAAGTATGCAAAAGTGAAATGTGAACATTTGAATATTAAGCAGCTCAGAGTAAAATGCGCCACAATTTCACACATATTCCAATGATCAATTCAGTTATCATCAAATGGAAAAAAGGCTGAGAACCACTTTGTAGCTGTAACAGTGCCTCTCCCAGCTATCCTCCACCCATATTTCCATTAAAATGTATACAGAATGTCATGCAAATCATACTCAAATATTTCTCACAAATAGAGCACATGAATCTTTGAGAATCATTAGACACAAAGGGTTGAGTAGCCCATGGACATGGGAGTACAAACTGGGGAAGAATAGCACTGATATATATGTGTGTGTGTGTATATATATATATATATCAATTTACCCTTTTCCTTGTTCCTGTAAAAGCAAGTTAACACAGATGCCTGGAATGAAAGCCAAAACTCACACGGGACAAATTTTAACCACAGACTTTAAAACCAAGTATGTTTCTCATTTTAGGACAATGTTTGCACATTAACTATTCACAAGGCACAGTAAATGAAGTGCAATAGACAAAGAATCTCAGGAGGCACTAGACATTACAAATTTTCTGCTTTGCTCAGACACACTACCTACAGCTATTGACAACACTTTGCGACACATCACATAGTGCAAGTTCAGGAAGAGGAAATAACCATTTGTAACCTTACATTATGAACCTGATGGATCGCTGAGAAAGGAAATCCAGCGTTCTGATTCGTCCATATTTCACAGACAGACGACTGCTGATATAAACAGAAAACTATCTCATCTTGTCAATATTTAAAACATGGTAGCTACCAAGGTAGCATCCAGGAAGAGAAGGAGGAAAATATTAAAATGCAAAGAATCACATTTCTTTAAAAAGAAAAACTCAAAAAATGTTTTAGGATGCCCAAGTTTTAAGAATTGACTTCCAAGTCATTCTTTTTGCTTAAAAAACATTTTGGGTTGGCTGGAAAAAAAAACAAAAAACAAAACCATTTATGCATTAGTGTTATATCAAGGTAAAGTACTAATAAATTCACATCGTGGAAAAAGCAAAATGTGTTTAACATTTGCCAGAAAGAACAGAGGTACCCTCCCTCTTCATGTCATTACTTTCAGACAAAAAACAAAACCATTTATGCATTAGTGTTATATCAAGGTAAAGTACTAATAAATTCACATCGTGGAAAAAGCAAACTGTGTTTAACATTTGCCAGAAAGAACAGAGGTACCCTCCCTCTTCATGTCATTACTTTCAGAGGATAAATATTTTCATTAACTTTAAGAAAGATGAGAAAAAACCTTTAACAGAGGTGAAACATTTTTATTTTCTTATCTTCAATGACCAAGAGCAAATGACACAATAAAATGACTTTCCTCATTTAGTCATTGCTCCATCTGATAAACCTAGAAGATATTTATGCCTCCAGCATTCTCAAGGGCAAAACTCTGTGGTTAACAAAGGCAGAAGTGTCACTGTGCCACCCAGCAGTGGGACTGGGGGTGGAGGTGGCAGGAAGGAGGCTGGGGCAGCGAGAGATGGGGTCAGAGAAGCTCAGTTCTGTTACTCAAGCAGAAACTTTTGGGAACAAGATTTGTGAGTCTAATGAATCAGCTCTATAATTTGGGCTCTCCACCACACCATTAACAACCTGAGGCAATATTGTTTGCTCAGAACAAAATGCCAAACTAACCAACACCTCCTCCCAGGAATTACAGCAGAAACCATCAAATAAACTGACGGAGGTCTTGGCTTGACCATTTCAGAGTTCTTTTCCTGATTTCCATCATTCTAAAAGACATTGTGAAATTGAATCACAGAAAATGGCAGAGCACCTAAACATATTCAGCCAGCACTGCAAGTATCCCCAGATTTCAAAAGTGGACTGTAGAAAGATCATTGCAGGAAGGAGATAAGCGCATAACCACGACATAGTTTAGAAACCCAGCAAAGAACAAATTATGAGACAGATTGTGAAATTGAATCACAGAAAATGGCAGAGCGCCTAAACATATTCAGCCAGCACTGCAAGTATCCCCAGATTTCAAAAGTGGACTGTAGAAAGATCATTGCAGGAAAGAGATAAGCGCATAACCACGACATAGTTTAGAAACCCAGCAAAGAACAAATTATGAGACAGAAAGCTTATCCCTGGCTAAACGTTTCCTTCACTCCCACCCTCCAGAAATGCTCACAAGAGATTTAACATCTCTCCAGTTACAACAGCACGTCCCCGCCCACCTACACCTTTGCGTTCCATCCCTTCTGCCATCTGGATGGCTTGCTGGGGACAGATTGTCAGGTAACCAGCATTCTGTTAAGGAAGTTAGATCTCCAAGGTCTGACCCAAAGGCACCTCCAACCACCTCCCACATAAACCAGCTCTGCTATTCTCTGTTCCTTCTCTAAACTTCATACTATTTTCTCCATAGGGGAATCTTCCTCTTCCTAACTTTCAAAACTTAATTCTCTAGCAAGTTAAGTCTTGGGTCCATTCACCCTCCTGGCCTTGTCTGCAACAGCTGTCATCTGATGTAAATATATTAACTCCATGCTTTAATTGGTTTACCCACTGAACTGGCACCACACATACTTCTAGGGTCTCCTGACCTGTTCAGCGCTCCTACCCACAGTCTTCAGCTAATTCTTTTACATAAATCATATCTTCTACAACTTTCACACATTTCTAGTGCTGGTAGTAGCCCAGGTACCACCTGTTATCTGATAGATGAAGACACAGACATTCAGAGAGGTTAAGTGGCTTACTAAGGTCACACGGGGGAGTGGCACAATGTGTCAGCCTGCTGGTATGGCTGGGAAGGAGTGGGAGCCTGGTACTGACTTCACTAGAAGGCAGAGGAAGCTCTAGTTATATTGAGCTTGTTTTACAGATCCTAAAACAAGTATATCTAACTGTAAACTGTTCGTGGAACAGTCTCAATTCTACAGGGGTCCAAACACCTAAAAGTTTTACTCTTTTCTAATCATTACTCCCAAATGGGCCATGGCCAGTCTTCCTGCCCCGATGAGCACAGGGTCACTTAACATTTTGGGCAGACTGGTCACTTTGAGTCATGAAGAACTCATTTTGTATAAAATCCCATCTCATAGCTGATTCAAACTTTCCCCTCCCTCATCACATACCAGTCTTGGGGCTTATAAAACCCGAGAAGGGTGACAGAGACTGACCTGCACTTTGTCCTTTCCTCCCCTGCTCTTCTGTTTGGAGGGAGTGGGGTGGAGTGGTGTGGTCTGTCTCTGGATGTCTCCACCCAAAGCTCTTCCTCCTTCATGTGTTTAGTTGGGGAGGAGGGGTAGAGGAGGACAAGGGCTTCTTTCTTGTCCAGCTGTGCTGAATTCTCTCTGATGGTTGTCACTGTGTTTCAGCTAACACTAATGTGGCCTCCCATGCCCTCTGTGCAGCAGGTGGCCCAGCCTAGGTTCTACAGTGTCCCTGCGTGAGTTCTTTGGAGGGCTGTGCTGGGGTAGAGGGTGGGTCCCCAAGTGCAGGTCCTGACAGGAGATTTCCTTCAAGCCCCACTCAGCCCTCCTAGGGCACATGCACGCTTCTTGGGTGGGAGGCAGGGGAGAGGGTTCGCACGTCCCCGTGAATCCCATCACCTGTATACATGCTTGTCACACAGAACAGAGGAAGGGCAGGCTGCTCTGTGAACATTCCTCTCTGGGGGAGAAGGAAAGGCTATTTCATTTTCAGTAGAGTGGGCTCAGGTAAGTACAGGAAAAGACAAAGTGGAGACCGTACAGACACCTCCTGGGGAGTTTCGCTTAAAGAGAAATTGAGCAGGAGGTTGAGGATGATGTTCAGCCGAGGGAAGGGGTTTATTTGATGTATTCGACACTGCTGATCACTCCTCCTGTTTCTTAGACTCTTCGTGGTTCCTATTATCTGACCATTCCTGGAGCATCAGCCCTCAATCCCTCTCTAGTCCTTCTTGGCTATACCAGGTCTCATCCAGTACTGGCTCCCAGTTTTCTATCTCCAGCCCAGACTTCTGCCCTAAACTCAACACTTGGACATCAAGCTGCATAACCGACACCTCTATTTTGACATTTAATAGGATCTCAGCCAGTTGCCCAGTCTCAAACTATTGGAGCCATCCTTTCTCTCACAATTTCACATTCAATCCCACTGAATCTCCTTCTAGAATCTTCTCACCCTCCTATCAGTACCTGGTCCAGGCCACTACCCTTTCTCACTTGGATCATTCCATTAGCTTCTGGTCTTGTTGCTTTCATCCTTGTCCCTCAGTGTCTATTCTCCACACCAGAGCAAAATGACCCATTGAAAACGAAAGCCGGATCATGCCACTCAGCTCCATTTAACCCAGCAGAGAACTCAGAGTCGTAACGATGACACCCGTTCTGCCTCACCTCCCTGCTCGCCTCTCCTACCACCCCCTCACTCACTCGCTTCTTGACAGCAAAGCACACTCTTGCTTTAAACCCTCTGCACTTGTTTCTCCATCTGCCTGAGACATTCCTCCCCCGGATACTACAGGACTAACTCCCTCACCTCCTTCAGGTTCCACTCTAATGTCATCTTCTCAGAAAAGCCTTCCCCAAGCACCACAGCAGATAATATCCAAATCTAGTCTACGATTCAGATACTACAGGACTAACTCCCTCACCTCCTTCAGGTTCCACTCTAATGTCACCTTCTCAGAAAAGCCTTCCCCAAGCACCACAGCAGATAATATCCAAATCTAGTCTACGATTCCCACATTGTAAAAGAATTATACTTTCAAGTAGAAATTTAAAATTTGAAAAACGTTTGGAGCATAAGAACCTATCTCCCTGACATTCATTCAAAGGTAGTTAGTGGTCACCTATTGTGTACAAGGCACGAGTCACAAAGTAAATAGCAACCACCCCTGCTTTTAATCAATGTATAAGGGAACTGTCAGAATTAGTAGTAACCCGGGATTGAGAGGCTGATGGTGGGTCTCGGAACAGAACAAGCTGGTGACAGCTCCATCTATTCAACAACACCAATTAGGCTCTGGAAACCTTCTGGGAGTTTGCTGATGTTGGGTAGCTAGTTTAATAAAGAAACTTTTATAAATAGATCCCTCCAGTCAGATTCTATTACAGATGAAAATTTCTGCCTTGTTCTAGCCCTGGAAAAAAAAAAAAGGCTTTCCTCTTTTCCTCTGTTTCTCCCTTATGTTTGTCATAATACTTTCACACTTCAGGGTGTTTAGAAATTGACCAGAAAAAATTCAATGAGAAATATGAAAGGTTCAGAGTGAAAGCTAAGAGAATAATGAAGTCCATTCCTTCTCTTGGATGACAGCACTTCTAAAATAAAATGAAAACAAACTTGAAGAGCAAACAAAACAGCTTCAAAGGCAGAAAAAAAAGGGCAACCTAACAAAGGAAGCCTTGGTCAGTAGCTCAGCGGCTCCTGGAGCAGAGACTTGGATGAGATGAGATCTGTCAAAGGATGGAGTCAAATTCAGTGCAGTCAAGGAATAATGCACCCAGCCCCCCATATGTATATTTTCTTCCAGCAGTGACAGCCCCGCGGCTTCTTCTTCCATGGGCACAAACTGAACTCTGCCTGGAAATCAGAAATTCAGAACCTCGTTTCTCCTGCGTTGCCCAGAGGCTGCAGGCCAGCCTCTGATCATTTCATCTGTCCCAGTGTTGTATACAGAAGAACGAGCCTCCTCCTGTCCTCTTGGGTGAGTTTCAAGATACACACTCAGCCCTCTAATGACTGCATGGGATTTA